GCATGCCCACAGAGATGCTAATCAATACACTGCTGTTGATGAGGGTCAGCAACAAAACCAACCTGAACTCATCAAAATCTGGTGTTTGGGCAGTGACTTGCGACGTCTGACACTGATAAAGAAAGCTGCCCTTTAACGTCGGCATGATACACAGGTGGTTGGCGTTACAGTTTAACGGCACCTGGCGGCATCAGGGGGAAACACAGCAGGACAAGAACAAAGGTTAGGGTGGCGAAAGTCCGAGTGAGGCAGGCAGGAGGGGTGGTGGATGGGTTCAACAAACACCAGCTTTCACCCGGGAGAGTGGTGTTTGCATCCCGTAAGATTATAAAGCAAAAACCCTGTTTTTTCCCCCAAACCTAACCATGTGCGCTTGTTGTTGAAGAAAAAAAATATCGATTTGCCGTGTTATACTGACATAGTGCTTTTATTTTGAAAGAGACTGTATATAAACGTTAAATTTCCTGTGAAAACGGAAGTGTATTTTGAAAACAGACAATGTACGTAACAGGCCAAAGTGCACGGCATTCCAGAACGCACCCAGGGTACCTTGCACATCATATCTGGACATGGAAGGTCCATGACCAATATTGCTGAACACAGGAGCTACTGGTCTACCCCCGCCTCTACCACTAAAACCATTAACGTAACGTATCATGCTGACGTGAAAGGACCGCTTTTTCCATCAGTGTCTGACAGAGGAAGTCACTAACCGAGCGCTGGTTTTCGACGACTTCGGAGTGAGACCAGACACGTATACCCTCCACTACACCACTGGTTCCAGCCCTTGGTCATATCATGCGGTGCAGATAGTTGTTCCCTCCAGTGGGCATGGTTTTAAGAGTATGACACATTGTGCTCTGTCTCTATTCCTCTGAGGGCAAAGTTGAGGGGAAGTCAACGAGGGCACGTCGAGCATCTAATGAAACGCAGCCACGGCTTTTCAAAGTCGTCCCCTTCAGAGGACGCCAGGTTAACAGGCTGAACCTGTGTCATTGCACGTCTCTGTCCTCATAGTGCTGGTTAACCTCCTTTTTTGACTTGTGACCCTTTGAAGTGAGGCAATGTTTGGTTCTGACCTCTTGTTGCAGGTTGCCCACAGTATCAGAAGTCCCTCGTCAGATTGCTTCATTTGAATAGTGTTAGGAAGAACTGAAGAGGTTTAACTATTCAGTACTTCAGACTGAAAAAGCAAAGACTGGAGGACAGTCAGAAAAACATAATTTGAGCAGCAGATATATTGTTGTTTTCTCTTCTTGTTGTCAGCAAACCTCAGGTATATATTGCAACCCTTACTTCAATACAAATAACCACAGACACAAGTGTAAAGGATTTTTGGGATGCTAAAGGCAGCAAAGTAAGATAAAAGTACAGTAAGATAAAAGAAGGTCACAGTTTTGTCCTGGAGCCTTTGTGACGGGGCAGCCGGACCTATATTAGCTCTTAAAAATACATTAGCAGAAGGAAAAGGTCTCGAAATATGTGCCATAGCTTACACAGAAACTTTTCCTGAATTCCTGTTTGTATTTATGCACTTTGCAAACTACATAAAGAGTTGAAACTGACCATGCTGGTCTATCCACACTGTCTCCTCCTCCCATTCCAGTTAATCTCTCCTCTGTCAGCTGTTTGATAACTCTTCACCATCTCTCCACATCAAAAGACTTCCACAGGTGGTGCAGATTTCTCAAATGTCTACTGTAAACCTGCCAGAAGCTCCAGCAAGGACAGTGCTGCCTCTCTGAGACTCTGCATGCAACTTTACATGATTGACATTATGCTATTTTTTTATCAGCACCTTCCTTCCAATGACATTTAAAGCTAATATTGACCTGGACCACAGTCGTGGCTGCTTCCCTTACAGCACGGGGAAATGGATGGCTTTTAAATGTGGAATTTATACACACTATCTCTCTGCATGTTGTGTGCATTCATGTGTGTGTGTATTCCTGTGTGTGCTCGGTCTTGATCAAACAAAGCTGGCCCGGTTTCATAGACAACAGAGAAGATAATGTCACAATAATGACAGGACATAATGTCAAATACATGTGAAAACACACACCACTTCAGCCGCAGCCATGGAGATGTCAAGGAGCCGTGCACCCACAGTCTTTAGGGGCCATTACAGCCTGTGCTTGTATGTCTGACTGTATGCATTTATATTATCTAAAGCCCTTCCAGTGCTGGGCAAGGGCATTGCATTAGTGCCATCTAGTGCCTTCAAACCTCAGTCCTGCATCCAGCAGGCAGGGTAAAGCCATGCCATCAATGAACTGTCAAATAAAAAGTGATTCACTTTTGATGATAGCACAAGTTGACACATATTTTTTGGTTTGGTTTTTTGTTCCTCATTGTAAACCAGATTATTACAGATAAGAATATCGTACATGGGCAGATTTCTCTGATCTAAATGTCTGATTCTGTGTCTTAAACTAAGGATAACTGGCATTTTAAGATAAAGCTTTGCAGCAGTGAAGGTGAACCCATGTTCCCATCTTCAATCACATTCTTGAGCAGAGGTTGTTTTGGCGATCAAAGACATATTTGAGGTGACCGGTGCAATCAGTGGCGTGACTCCTCTGATTGCTGTATCCTTTCGAGCCTCCCTCGCAGCAACAATGATAGCTCCACTCGAGCTGGAGGGCTATTGACATTGACAGGACTTGAACTTTATTCTGCTGTGTTATAATATTTAAACCGATGATGGCAATTTGTAGACGAATGTGTATTCGAGGGTGTTCGTGAGAGAGATGCAGAGCGAGGGAGCGTGTACTTGTGCGCCACAAAACATCTGTTTTGACTCTCCTCCTTCGTCTGCCCTTTAAGAGGAAAAACCGGCAATTTGTTGCAAATGAGCTAAGTCAATGTGATCCCTGCTAGCATCTGGAAACAGGAAAACAACTCCTGGACCGAAACACTCTCTCCTTGTATCGCTCCCCACCTCTCTCATGGTAGACCTGAGTAAGTGAAAGTAATGATAACCCTGTCCTCGTAGGTTATGAGCTTGTAACAATGATGTTCACGTTTTTCTGACAAGCAACTTTTCATGGTCAAAGTGTTTCAAGGTCAAGAATGGCCTTCAACCTCAGATGCTTTCGCTGAAGCAAAAGTGGATGTAATGAGACATTGTTATTAGCACAGCAAGACTTATTAGGAAGGAGGCAGAGGTGGAGGGTGGTGTCTACAATACAAAGAATGTGATTTGAACACAGGAGAGCACGGTGAGCATGCTGTGTCAATGTTCCCACAGAATAAGAGTGTGTGCGTGGCAGTACAGAGCAAACTATCAAATGCTTATGTGTCCCTTTGTATCATTCTGAGGATTTTGTGGGTCCATGAATGTAGCACAGGCGGAGCTCTCTTTAGTTTTTTTTTCCTCAGCAAAAGTCCGTGGAGTTTTGAGTCGCAGGGTGGATCAATGATGAGTCGATGGATGGATGAGAGGAGCAGCTGCTGCAAGTGAATGCAAACTTTTGGACCTAGAAGAATGAACGGTTAGACTTCACTTTCACCTGACATTCTGCTGCTCCATCTCTTGCCCAAGTGAATCCTTCACTCCGACAGTGCAGTGCAATTAATAGCAGAATGGTATATATATGTTACAAAAGCACTCCTTAATTATTGTCCATTTCCAAAAACTGAAAATCTACTTGTGGCAGCAGATGTTTAAATCATGGTGGGCCGCTTAAAATAAATGTATGTCTTGGAAATCCTGTCTCTCCTACCTGGAGTTGATGTTACTTTAACCAGGATCACAATCTTTCCCTAACCAAGACATTTAGCTGCCCAAACTTAAGCAAAACATAACTATAGACGTTTAAGATTAGGAAATGCTTTCAGTCATTTTCCAAAATGGGTATTAAAGTCATTTTGGAAGATACTTGTGGTTGGGTTGAATTGTGTCTTATGCCTCTCCATTGATAGCTTGTTTGCAATCAATCGACTTTTATGACCATAAACTGTATAAAATCATAGATGTAGCTATCATGACATCACCTATTGGTTTGTGGACGAGCTCAGCACTTTGGCCATCGCCTTTTTTTTTTAGTTTTATGAGCCAGAAGTGCCCATATTTGGACGACAGGATGGAGCTGTGGAGGATCACTGGGACTCGTGCTGTGTTGGTAGTCGTTGCCTCCAGTTATCTGCCCTCCATCTGGACAGCACACCAATGTATGACGTCATATCATGATACTGAGCAATTGGAAACTTCTGTGAGGGGTTCTGTTACTTTCATTCTGCCTCTACACGGTGGAGTTAGGCAGAGTCAGAGGCAACATGAGGTCCTGTCACTGCCTGATCTGATAAAGTGTATGAACTGTCCAGATGATGGATTTCAGTTCACTGCTGGGTCTCAAAGGAAGCTAAAAATGCCCAACCTACTGTAAGTCATCGTCCCAAAATAGCTGTGATATACCTTTCTAGTTACGTATTAGACTTCTGACACCTCTTGTAGTCAGAAAGCAAATACAAATATTAGCGTGTGACTTCTGTGTTTGCACACTCGGTCATGTCCATCTGTACGCTGAGTGGTTCCAAGAATGTCATTAACTGTCAAATCATTGCCAGAATAGGGCGTAAATACACTGCGTTGGTGTCATACCCTCCTCGAAGCTCCTAAACAGCACTGGAGGTACGTTTATATACATTTTGGCACAAATATGAGTGTTAGGAACTCAGTGAACTTATGGATCGACAGCAGAGAGGTGTATTCTACCGCAGAAGTGATTTAAAGAGTCTGTCCACATTCGTTACCATGCACACACACTCTTGCTCCCGAACTATGTGGTCATGGTTACTTTTCCATTTTATCTCAAGAAGGCTAGCAGGGTTAGCATTTAGCATTCTGGGTACCTTCCGTCCTTGGGTACATAGATGATAATCACAGGACACAGATTGACATAGCACGCAGCAGCATGTGTGTGTGTGTGTGTGTGTGTGTGTGTGTGAGGGCCAGGGAGGTGAGGGAGACTCAGGTGTAGCGGCATCAGGATACTTACAATAACATGTTCCTCTGAGAGGGTTGCCAAGGTAACGGTTCTCCGAGTCACATCTGGAGCGACACAGGAAAGGAGAGACAGGCGGAGAGGGTAAGACAAATAGGAGGAAGGAGAAGAAGAAAAAGAAGAAAGGAGAGAAAGACGAGAGGCATTAGCATTCAACAAGGGCTCAGTTTTTACAAAGACACATTTTTTTGTGTTAGAGTGTGTGTGTGTGTGTGTGTGTGTGTGTGTGGTTGTGTGTGTGTGTGCGCCAGGTGGGCCCTTGCTGCAGGTATTGTCTTCCCCCAGCTCTCTGCAAGGTGATTTCCCTCGACAGTCCTGTCTAGTCGGAGCTGCTCTCTTCTTCCCCAGGGGGCCCACACACAGACACACAGACACACACACACACACACACACACACCATGATGAGAGAGAACACCTAACCTCCTGAAGCACTCTAACACAGATCTAATGCAACAGCAGGAGCATCAGAGGATCATCAGCTTATATATCTGGACAAGGTGAAAGATGTTGATGGATTTGCCTGATTAATCTTCAGCCCTACGATAAATATTGACATTTGGCACCATGGGGAAAAACTGAGATTACAGGCATAGTTTAGAGTTTTTTAAGTAGATGGCTAAACTACATTTTGTTGCCAATTCCCATCCACAGCTGTTCATCGCTTAGCATCCATGTCAGACTCCAGCCTGCTTCTCCAAACTGGTGGCCTGCTAACTGACATCTACTGTGTGCAATACACTGACTATTGATAAGTACCTCATATAACCCCACTTCAACAAATCCGAACTATCCCTTTAAGGGCAAACAATTTTTAAAAAATGATCAAAGACTGATATACAAGGCTAAAGGACAACTTTAACTTTGTCTTTTCTTGGTGAGTTGCAGAGGACAGCAGAATGACTAGTAAACATTAACAGTAAGAGAGTGCAAGAAAATGAAGCTGGTTTCAGTGTGGCCTGTCAACATGGGGAAAAGAGAGTGTTGAAACAATTTCAGCTATTCAGAATTGATATGTACTGACAAATTGAAAGTTTTGACAACATTGTGTCCACTCTACTGATTTACATGGAATAGCAGGATTCAATTTTTTCTAATCAATCACCAGAGACCTAGCCTGGAAATCCAGACTCAAATCTAGAAAGATTTTGAGTCTGGCCCTCACTGATACACCCTTCCTCCCCAGGGGGCAGCACTAACTGAGGCATATTAAATGCCGCCGCACACAATTGGATAGCACAATGGCCAATCAGAGCAAAATACAAGGTGACTTATTCGTTGCACTAAGCGCCATTTGTTTGCCGACCAGTGGGGCTAACTGATATATTATGCTTTTGCCGTATCCCGTCGGCAAAACGGCAAAAATGTCCTTCCTGGAAACAAAGGCTTCTAGGGCAGTCTTCTGTTCCTCTCTCAAGGAAAAAGATAAGTGTAGTTGGCTTAGTGTTTATTCCAAAGCTAAACTGAATGGACGCATCCTTCGGCAGCTGCCATCTTGGCTGTTTACTCTTTGACTCCTACAGCGCTGTCCTCATCATGTTACGCCCGCCCTGAGCCCACCTCTGTCAGATAGACTGATCCGATTGGTCCAATGGCGATTCCCCAGGCTCTGCTCGTCGGGGCCAGATCCCCGTGCAAAGCAAATATAAATTTGCTGGGGGCGGGGCATCTGGATTTCCAGGTTACCAGAGACCAACATATTCGCCTGAATCTGGTGTCATTTTGGGTCCACACTGATGTGTCATCATTGTGAATGTATATGGTTGCCATGCCAACATAGCCTACTGGTTTTGCCACCGAGCGGAGCAATGTACAAAAAAAAAAAAAAAAAAAAAAATGTCAGAGAAAATTGAGAACACATGTCGTCAGTGTTAAATATTTCTTAATCAAGAGATCATAACAAATTCAAGAATCTTATTTAGCACGACAAACATGAAAGAGAGACCGTTCGGTGAATGTTTGAGTTATATCGACCCAGTGTCAGCTCCGTTTCCATCTTCAGGGGGGTTCAGTTTTTCCCAACCAATCACTAGAGACCAAAGTATCCGCCTGAATCTAAGGTCAGTTTAGGTCAACACTGATGTGTAACCATGCCAACATACTGGTTTTGCTGGGGGTTTAAGGGAGGAGTGGAGCAAAGTAAAACCAAACTTGGATGTTGGGTGATATTGAGCAGACGTGTCGATATAGAGCAGCCTTGATAGCAGCGTCTATCTTGTCTTACGCCGTTAGAATTGACATTACTCCACAATGGTTCCAACGTACAGCTTGACAACAGCTGTACAACAGTGCTAATCCCACTAGCGGCGCTGTTTGGCTAATCTTCAATTGCCCCCACAGCGCTACTGGATGTAGGTACCGTGACATCATCTATTGGTTTGTGGGCCTTGTGGACGGCATTACAGCCATTGCCATATTGGGTTTTTTTTTAGAGCCAGAAGTGACGATATTTGGGTGAGAGGTTGGTGCCTATCAGGACACTATCAGCACACGGCCTGTCACTCAAAGCAGGTGGCCCTTAATTATGTCTGAATTTAAGCCTTGATAAAATCTAAATCCCAAACTGTATTTTGTTCCAGGCTGTTAACATCTTTATTTCTGCTGTAGTTAGTCATTATAACATGAGGCTAAAGAAGCCAGCCTCAAGTGGCAGTTCAGTGAACTGCAGTTTTTGGCACTTTGGCTTCATTTTTCAGCCCCAAAAGCTGCCGCTTTGTCTGGACCCAGGCAACAGATGAAATTGTACACAGAGGGAAACTAACAATGTGAGCTTGAATGGTGTCACTAAAAAGTTTAAAGCTGCTCCTTCGTGGAAGACGGCAGCTGTATTGATCTTGGATTTATAGCAGGAACAATGGAGACACAGTAATGGCAAACAAATGGATCAAAAACTGCCAACACTGTAAACTCCTCAAAGCACTCCTGAAGCATAATCCACTGCTCTAATGCTGATCCAAAACAAATCATGACTCTGCCAATATATGGCTAAATACAAGACTTACGGAGCAGCTTGGGAGCTATATGAGTAGGCGGCACATGAGTTGTATATTCACTGCTGCTAAGTGGGTTTTTTGTGCAACCTTTAAAGACAATACAGAGATTTTTAGTGCAGTGTCCCTTAATTGTTGTAGTTGTAGCTTTAATCTAACTCAGAAGGTTTGTTCTGTATTCGTCTCTGTCTCTCAGATGTTTTTGCATTGACATTAATCACTGCTGGTGAGTGGAAAAACAAAATGAGAAACATACTTGATATACTTTTGACAATAGAAAGAGAATAACATGGCATTTCAGTTTAAATACATCAGCCGCTGTCACTCATCAGAAACAATCTATTCAGTGTTTCATTTAAATTTCATTTCTGACATTTCACCATTTCTCAGTTATTCACTGTGACCAGATAGGGGTTGATTATCTTTAAAAAAAGACGCACACTTGTTGACGGACAGTAATTGGCTGTGGCTGAGAGTTGTGACCTTTAGGTTAAGGGAAAGTCTCTAATGACCAGTGAGCTCTGCCGCAGCACAATTAGGTAAAGAACCAATTGATTTCTCCAGCAGAAATCTAATGAATTTTTCAAAATACATAATGGGATTTGCATGTGTTTCAAGGGGCCTGGTGGTCCAGGAGCATAAGGGCTTTTAAGTATAATGTAAATTATAACACAGCAGAAGTAATTAAAGAAAAATATCAGGGTTAACAGGTTTTTTCGAGTTATCGTCGAGGAATGATGTACATGCTTTCTGAGGCCATTAAAGTGTCAAGACGGATGACGTGTGCCTGAAGTGCAGATAGGAAAATTCTTGCCTGGCAGTAGAGGACAAAAAAGACGGAGTTATTAAACTTCCGCTGCCAAGAAATGTTAAAACTGTGGTGAGCGGACTAAATGTAATTGTTATTATAATATCAAGGCTTTTAACGTGTCTATAAAAAGCTGAAGCTCCACCGTGACGGAGCGGTATTCATCTTTTTTTATTGTTCTTTCTGTATGTGTGTGATGAGAGTGGCTCCATGACCTTCATCTGGAAGACTTTAAAATGAAAAACAAAAGTGTTTATTATCACTGCTGCAGCTAAAGTGAAGTTCTGTATCGTGGCCATTTGGAAAGAAAGAGAAATTGCTGGTGATCAAACCCATGTGCAGATGTTTGACAAGCTTTACTTAATATGGAATAAATATCAAAAGTTAACAGTTTCATATTGTTTCACAGTGAAGCAGAGGAGGATTAGGAAAGAGAGAGCATGAAAGACTCATGCAGGAGGAGAATGACAGGAAACAAAGAGGAATAAGTGAAGAAGAACAAGAGGGCAGGTGAGGTTTACAGCCGGAGTGTTTTTGAATTCGCTTGTAGTGCTGCAGCAGGTCACAGAGCAGCGCCGGATACTGAATATTTCATTCCTCTGTAAACCCCGGCCAAGGACGAGGCCTTAAACCTGGACTGCCTCACTGAGCTCACAACCTGAATCAGGAGTTTAGAACAACAATAAAACAAACAGAAAAGCAGAATGATACTTTAGGTCCAATAGTGGCACGTGAATCAGTTTAAGAGACCACTTGACATTTAGACCAACATGTTCCAAGTAACTGAGATTTCTGCTGAACTAAAGAACGGTCCTTTAAGAGAAGCTGAACGTGCTTATATTTTATTTCAGTTTGGCAGAGCTCAGTGAGTTCTCGGGTTTCTCACTGGGTGTCATGTGCAGGATAGAAATATGGAAAGAAGGAAACAAGTGGAGATATGAAACTTAAAGACAAGATGAAAGAAGATTATTAAACCAACAGTTTAGGATCCAGAGAGGAGACATGGATGGAGAGCAGGGTCATTGTATTGACATTTCTTAGACTGTGTTTAAATGCTTCATATCCCTAAAATCTGTAGAACCTAAGCTAAAATGTTATGTAAGTCAATAAACCATAATAACTGATAAAAGTATTATATTGTGTCATTGAAAAAAATACAAAAAATTGACTTGTTTTTCATCAATTTTACAAAATAAAAACACAAAAAATAATGATCAAAAAAATGTTTAAATGTAGTAACATAAAGAACATA